GCGTTTGTGTGTTTTTAAGACTTTAGTTTTAGAGAGAGAGGAAGGGAGAGAGAAAGACAGGGAGAGAAACATCGATGTGAGAGAGAGATATCTATTGGTTGCCTCTTGCAGACCCCCCGTTGGGTCCTGGCCCACAACTCAGGCATGTATCCTCACTGGGAATCCAACCAGTGACATTGCTGTTCACAGGCTGGCACTCAATCCACTGAGCCACACCAGTCAGGGCTGCAAAGGTTAGTTTTGAAACTAGTAGATTCTGGCTCTGGCTGCCTGCCTGCCTGTGAATTGGGGGCTGTCAGTTCAATTCCCAGTCAGGACACATCCCTGGGTTGCAGGCCAGGTCCCCAGTTGGGGGTGTTTGAGAGGCAACTTATCCAATGTACCCCTCACACATCGCTCTTTCTCTCCCTTTCTCCTTCCTTTCCCCTTTCTATAAAAATAAATAAAATAATGACATTAGAATCACAAGTAAATTATCAGCTGCCTAATCTACATAATTAATGAAAAAGAGCTTTTTCAAAATATTGAAAATCCAAAACCGGAAAATCTTTACACGGGTTTTCTTCCCACCCTGTGTACTCAGTGCATGAATGACAGTCCGCCCAGCGTAGGACTCCAAGGAGCAACTCATTCCAAACACTCTTCCAACAAGAGACGATGAAGTACTGAGCCGGGCCCTAGACAATGTCGAATCTGGCGTGGAGAACCTTCTTTTTGTCTGTCTTAGAGACATGCAACCTTGTCATGTACATAGTCAAGGTGAAGCATCTTCAACTAGTATCAAAGCCAGAGGCCAGTTTTGTCAAGTCCACCTGCATCCCTTGGAGCAGCACGTGCTTCAGTCAAGGAGAAAAACACATTTACTTCTCACACCAAAAGAAATTTTTAAAAGCCCTAGGCTTCTATCACAAATGAACATAAGCATTTAATGAGACTTTTCTGATTCAAGACCACATGTAGGGTCTTCCTCACGTACCACCATACTATGGTGGAACACACCACCACCACCTTAATAAAGCTTCCCATTTAGAAAAGAAAAAGAAAGGAAAGGACATACTCTGAGGTCTCTGGTCTACACCAAATGGGCAGCTTTGCTGGGCAGAATGTACTTTAGAGACCTATTTCTGGGGGCTGGAGTGAGGAATCATCCTTTTGTTGACTATAGTTCTGAGAATAGTTATCCTGCCCTTCTATTTACTTGCTTCTGACTTCACCTAGTCAAATCTAATAAAGTACTAGAAAAAACTATGCCTTCCTAGTGAAATAAGCAGCTTCCCCAGCTACTGTTGATAAATATTTATAGTTTCAAAATTATTGTAACTTTATCAGGTCACGGTGATTTATGATACACGTTTGTAGAACTGTAAACAATACGATGTATTTTTTTTAAGTAGGACTTTATGTGGAGCAAAAGAACACCATTTTTGGCACCGTGTGTCTGTCATCTTAGTTTTATTCCAGGGTCCTTGTGCTTCTTAGGCAAGTAGAAGTAAATGAATAAAATCATTAAAGAAATGGCTGTTCAAAGACAATGCCATACTTCAATGTGAACCATACACATGCAAATACTCTTCCAGTTTTTCCTTTTCTTAAAATCTTTTTTACATTTTATTTATATAGAGAGAGGGGAAGGGAGGGAGAGAGGAGACAAACATCAGTGTGTGAGAGAAACATTCAGCAGTTATCTCTCAGCTGTTTCTCATATACTGCCAACTGGGGACCTGGCCCCTAACTTAGGCATGTGCCATGAATGGAAATTGAACTGGTGACCTTTCAGTTCGCAGGACAGCATTCATTCCACTGAGCCACACTAGCCAGGGCTCCAGTTCTATCGAACTCTCCAAAAACTGCTTCTTTTTACAATTTCCAAGTTTAAGACCCATTTTTCAACGATCTTTAATAAACCCATTATTGTCATTCACAGAAGAAAGTCACCATTTCTTCTGCGTTGTATCTAACCACATAATTTTTGAATAAACTTATCATTCTCTTCCCATGAAAAGCCCAGTACTGCTTTCCATGGTCTGTTGATATGGCATTTTTTCCTGTAAACTTAATGTGCTCTTTCTAGAGATGGGCACCCACCCTGGACCTAGTAAATATGGAGACATACAGTTTTATATAATTCCCTGCCTTCCCTCATGCTAATGTATACAATCAGGAATTTCATACTGAGCATCCTTGTTTTCCAGGAAATGGATACCAATGAACCATACCTAATGAAGTTAAGCCCTTTTATCGTGTTGCTTCCCAGAGACCATCACAAAGGGCCTTTAACCGGGCTGGTGTGGCTCAGTGGATTGAGCTCGGGCCTTCGAACCACAGGATCTCGGTTTCCCAGTCAGGGCACGTGCCTGGGTTGCAGGCCAGTTCCCAGCAGGGGACCCACAAGAGGCAACCACACATTGATGTTTCTCTCCTTCCCTTCCTCTCTAAAGATAAATAAATAAAATCTTTTTTAAAAAGGCCTTTAAATATTTCTTGACATACAGATATTGATCTTTTACGTAAAATTCATAGATATTAATACTTTAAAAAAATCAGATAACTACTACAAACACTAAAGATAATGAGCTATGTGTACACATTCTTGTTCCTGTGATACACAACATTAGCTGAATTTTAACAGTTTGACTTGTAATTTTTCTGCAGTATGTAAGGTCCTGGCTTAAACGCAGAAAAGTAAAACCTTAATTATTATACCTAGTATGAATTCATAGATATGTGGTCTTTCAGGAGAATAGGTTAGAAAATTGACTACATTCATTACCTTTGTAAACATTCTCATTATGAAAATTTTGGAAAATCCAGAAGGCACATAGTCCCTTGTACATAGTTCCATGTTCCATATGTTAGTATAGTTCAGTTCTGCATAAATTTTATCATTACTCAAAAGGCATAGACCAGGGGTGTCAGACCCATTTTCACCAAGGGCCTCATCAGCCTTGTGGCTGCCTTCAAAGGGCTGAAATAATTTTAGGACTGTATAAATGTAACTACTCCTTAACTGTTAAGCAGTTGAAATTACATTCAGCCTTTTGAAGGCAACCACAAAGCTGATGTGGGCCTCGGTGAAAATGAGTTTGACACCCTGGCATAGACATTTGATGAAAAGCCTGACATTCACATTTGTTAAACTACTCTCTGATATGATACCCGGTTTTGATCTTCAGGTCAAAGCATTAACATGGACATGAATCACACGTGGTTTCTCTCAAAGATGTACATTCTGATGTCTAGGGAATCATGAGAGGTGGAAAAAGGCTATGCTACATACATTTACATAATTTTTCTTCACTGTGGCTTTTCCAGTGTTGCATGACACTGAACTCTAAGGCAACTTCCTTACCAAACTCATTGCATTTGGAACAGTATTGCTCCCATGTTTCCCAATCACTGATCTTTGAGTAAACACTTTGCCACTTGTTAATGTCAGAGATCTGTCTTCAGGATGTACGTTCTGCTGTCCAGTAAAGAATAAATCTTAATGCAGGATGACTGCTATGTGGGGCAGTTAGTGGGTGGAGGGATCAAACAAAAAAGAAAAAGGACTCATGCATATGTGGTGACTGCGGCAGGGGTAGGTATATGGGGGCTAAATGATAATAAAAATATAACTTTTTAAATTAAGTAGGCAAAAAATAATACCTTAATAAAAATGGGCAAATGACTTAAAAAAAGATGTTGGTCTATTCACAGGAAGTATGAAATCTTTGATGAACCCTGAGTTTCAGGGAATACTCAAGACCCTCTCCATGCCCAGTACATTTTTAAGGTTTCTCTTCAATATAAATTCTCTGATGTTGAAGGAGGCTTGAGCAATGGTGAAAGGTATCCTTAAATTTTTCATTTTTATTGTTTTTCTCCAGCATGAATTCTCCAACATTGTGTTTTGAACACAGGTTTAAAGCTTTCCCACATTACCTGCATTTGTATGATTTGTCTCCGTAAGAGTTCTCTGGTGTTAGGTAAGATACCACTGATGATCAAAAGATTTCACACCTATACTACATTTATAAGGTTTCACTCCAGTATGAATGTTTCCAGTAAGTTTTAAAGAGCGATTAAAGGCTTTCCCACAGAGTCCACATATATAAAGCTTTCCTCCAGTATGGATTCTCTGATGGTCAGTCAGGGGTGAGGACTGGATAAAAACATCACCACATTCTCTACATTTATAAGGCTTCTTTTCCAGTATCAATTCTATGATTCTAAGTGTTCATTAATCATAAAAGGATATACTACATTCTATTTGTAAGATTTCTCCTGAGTGTGAGTTCTTCTCTCATGCAGATCAAGAAATGAATGCTTATTAAAGGCTTTGACACATGCTTTACATTTGTAAGTCGTCTCTCCATTATAATTTGTCTCATGTTGTGTAAAACACCAATAGTAATAAAAAGTTTTCCCACATTCTCCACATTTTTAAGGTTTCTCTCAACAATGTTTTTTTAATTTATTTATTTATTTATTTTTTAGAGAGAGGGGAAGGAGAAAGAGAGGAAGAGAAACATCGATGTGTGGTAGCCTCTCATGCACCCATTACTGGGGCCCTCACCTGGCCCGCAACCCAGGCATGTGCCCTGACTAGGAATGGAACTGGTAACCCTCTGGTTTGCAAGCCGGTGCTCAATCCACTAAGCCACACCAGCCAGGGCTCACCAATGTTTTATTTCATGTTTAGTAAGGTACAAATGCAAATAAAAAATGCTTTGACACACTTTACATCTGTAAGGTTTGTCTCCCCAAAGAATGATCTTATGGGAAGCTTTGAAAAGTGTTAAAGGCTCTGCCATATTCTCTACATTTGTAAAAACTATGCCACACTTGTTACATCTATAAAATTTCTGTCCAGCATAGACTTTCCAATATCCAGTAACATTTGAACACCAGTAAAAGGTTTTGCCACACTGTCTACACATTAATGTTTCTCTCTGGTATGAATTTTCTGATTTTGAGTAAGGTTTGAGCACTAGCTAAAGGATTTGACATATGCTCTACATACAGAACGCTTTATACAGGATAATTTCTCCTATGATCAGTAACAAGTTTAAGACCAACAGCTTTACAATATTCTCTATATTCATAAGACCTCTATCCGATATGAGTTTTCTGATGTCGATTAAGCTTTGAGGACTTGCTAAAGGCTTTACCACATTCTCTACATTTGTAAGGCTTCTCTCCAGTATGAATCTTCTGATGTTCAGTAAGGTATGAATACCGGATAAAGGCTTTACCACATTCTTTACATTTATAAGACTTCTCTCCAGTGTGGATTATCTGATGATAAGTAAGGTGTGAGAACTGCCTAAAGGCTTTGCCACATTCTGTACATTTATAAGGCTTTTCCCCAGTATGAATTTTCTGATGTTTAGTAAGATATGAGGACTGGCTAAAAGCTTTACCACATTCTCTACATTGATACGGCTTCTCTCCAGTATGAATTTTCTGATGTTGAGTAAGGTATGAAGACCGGCTAAAGGCTTTACCACATTCTGTACATTGATAAGGCTTCTCTCCAGTATGAATTTTCAGATGTTCAGTAAGGTGAATAGACTGCCTAAAGGCTTTGCCACATTCTGTACATTGATAAGGCTTCTCTCCAGTATGAATTTTCTGATGTTTAGTAAGGTCTGAGGAATGACCGAAGACTTTACCACAATCTATACATTTATAAGGCTTCTCACTAGTATGAATTCTCTGATGATAAGTAAGCTTTGAGGACTTGCTGAAGGCTTTGCCACATTCTCTACATTTATATGACTTCTCTCCAGTATGAATCATCTGATGATAAGTAAGATGTGAGAATTGCCTATAGGCTTTGCCACATTCTCTACATTGATACGGCTTTCCTCTAGTATGCACCTTCTGGTGTTTAGTAAGGTAAGAGGACTGACTAAAAGTTTTACCACATTCTCTACATTGATAAGGCTTCCCTCCAGTATGAATCTTCTGGTGTTTAGTAAGGTATGAGGACTGGCTAAAGTCTTCACCACATTCTCCGCATTTGTAAGGTTTCTCACCAGTATGCATTCTTCTCTCATGTTCAATAAGACATGAATTCCATTTAAAGGATTTGCCACATGCTTTACATTCGTAGAACTTCTCTCCAATATGAATTATCTGATGTGCACTAAGAGCTGAGGGGCAATTAAATGCTTTACCACATATTTTACATTTATAACGTTTTTCTCCTGTACGGATTACCTTAAGTCTATTTCCACTGAATATTTGACTGAAGATTTTGCCACACGGTACACATTTGTAACCGTCCTCCCTTGTATGAATATTCCCTTTTTCACCGAGATTTGAAGATTGCTTAAAAGATTGGACACATTTACTTTGTTTGTCTGTCTTCTCCACAATAGGAATAACCTGATGTGTATTGTGACTTGACATATGGACAACGACTTTTCTGCCTTGATTTTGGGTCTCTGGAAGCTCAGTATTCTGATGTGTATTAAGATTTGACTTGTCAAAATTTTTCCAACGTTCATTACACTGATAACTTCTGTCTTCATTATATGTACCCTGGTAATCATTACAGATAAAAAGACCTTTAGTGAAAGCTCTAAGTTCAGCAAACATATATACTTATTCCCAAATGACTATACCCATTAAACCATGTTGGTTGTATAAAAAAATCACTGCTGTCCTAACTGATGTTGCTCAGTGGGTTGGGCTTCATCCCACAGACAAATGTCGCTGGCTCAATTCCAAGTTAATGTACATGCCTGAGTTGCAAGCCAGGTCCCCAGGTTGGGGCTCGTGAGAGACACCTGATGGGTGTTTCTCTCTCACATCAATGATTGATGTTTCTCTCCCTGACCCTCTTCCTCCCTGACCCTCTATAAATGAGCAATATCTTAAAAAAAAAAAAACTGCTCCCAAGTTAACAGAAAATTATACATATTTAAATAAAAGCCTTTTCTTTTTTATAGATTTCATTTATTTTTAGACAGAAAGGGAGGGAGAAAGAGACGGAGAGAAAAATCAATGTGTGGCTGCCTCTTGGGCACCCCTCACTGAGGAATCTGGCTGGCAACACAGATATGTGCCCTGACTGGGAATCAAACCCTTGACCCTTTGCTTCACAGGCCAGCACTCAATCCACTGAGCTATACCAGCCAGGGCAAAACCCTTATTTTTTAATAAAGTACATTATTTTAGTTTGATATCTGCATAATAAAACACTAAATTTTAGAAATTATTGACTGAAAGTTTAATCTCACTCTACATTTTAAACAATTCAAATCATTGCTCACACAATGGATTATGTGAGTTCCTGGATTTTCCAGACTGCCTTTAGAAGAATATATAGCCTTAGAAATTGTTTCCAGTCTTTGCATTTATTAACACATTTTACTGAAACTGTAACTGACCTAAATGCAGGGTGGGTTCCCCAAATGTATTCTATTTTTAAAAAATATTTTTTATGGATTATGCTATTACAGTTTTCCCAATTTTCCCCCCTTGTACCTCCCCTCTGCCCTGGCCCCCTGAACCCTGCGGCAAAATGTGTACTATTTTTAACCTCATTAGGTAACAAGGATTTTTAAAAAATAAATAATTGTCCCAAGTTACATTATCAAACCACATCTTCTATATCTTACCAGCATGATTTTAGAACATAAATCTTCCATCCCTGGGTTTGTCAACAAGGCCTGGTTGTCTTCAGATGACATAGCTGAAAAATACAAAATAAAGCTTCACCGTTTTGACACTCTGGTGAATGTACAATGAACTTACCAGCAAGTATTGACCAAATTACATTTTTGAGTACTCCAAAATGTTAAATGTTAAAAGCAAGACAAAGAAAGGTACATGAGATAAAGTAACATCAAAAAAGTTGTGCTTAAAGAAAAAAGTCAATTAATGAAAAAAATCAGTTTTCCTCCTGGGTGCTTGAAGATTGGCTGCCACCATGAACTACACGGTAACTATATGAACCAGGAAGTTCATGACCCATAGACGACTTCACCAAAACAGATGGTTATTAATGTCCTTCACCCTGGGGAGGCAACAGCTTGCAAGAAAGAAATGCAGGAAGAACTAGCCAAAATGTGTAAGACCGCACACTAAATGGTAACTTTGTGCTAGGATGAAGAACCCATTTTAGTGCTGGCAAAACAACAGCCTTTGGCATGATTTATGATTTTATATATTACACACGTAAAAAAATTACCCAAACACAGCCCTGGCTGGTGTGGCTCAATGGATTGAGCACAGGCCTGCAAACCAAACAACTGCGGTTCAACTCCCAGTCAGGGCACATGCCTGGGCTGCAGGCCAGTTCCCAGAGGGGAGAGAGTTTCTCTTCTCTCTCCTTCCCTCCCTTAAAGATAATAATAATCTAGAAATACTCTTAGGTAGGGGGCTGGTGCTTTTTTTTTTCTCTCGGGTGTTGGCTGTCGCAGCTTTGCAGGCCAGTTCCCAGTGGGGGACACATGAGAGGCAACCACACATTGATGTTTCTCTCCCTCTCTTTCTCCTTCCCTTCCCCTCTCTCTGAAAATAAATAAATAAAATATTTTTTAAAATGTATTTATGATCCTAAATTGGATTGCTAGTAGTATAAGACCTCACTAGTACCCCAGGTGATTGAAACATTCAAAGAGTTCACTATCAAAATAACAATGACAGTTTTGGCAAAAATAGCAAATTTATTCTAAAACTAAGCATACACTTATTATATGATCCAGTAATTGTGTTCCTTAGTATTTAACCAAAGAGCTAAAAAGTTTTATCTACACAAAACTTTTGTATCTACACAAGCCTACAATGAACTATTTATCAAAGTGTCATTCATAATTTTAAAAATTGGAAGCAATGAAGATATCTGTCAACTGGTGAATAAATGATTAAACTAAAATACATATAGTAAACTATTATTAAGTACTATAAAGAAATAACACATCAAGCCATGAAAAGACATGAAGGAAACCTACATACATAAGATTAAGGGAAGTAATTTAATCTGCCTGACCAGGTGCTCAGTTGCTTAGGGCATCATCCCGATATGCCAAGGTTGCAGGTTCAATTTCCAATCAGGGCACATACCAGATTCAACTAATAAATGCATAAATAAGTGGAACAACAAATCAATGCTTCTATCTACCACTCTTTTGCTAAAAAGATCAAAAAATGAAATAATAAAAACAAGAATCCAATTTGAAAAGACTATAAACTATAGGATAACAAGAGCATGCCATTCCAGAAAAAACAAAGTGAGAGAAACAGTAAAAAGATAAAAGGTGCAAAAGTTTAGGAGACATAGGGAAAAACAGGCAGAGCACAGAGAGCATTAGGGCTGAGCAACTAGTTGGTATGACTGTAATCATGGGTATGTGTCATCATAAATTTTCAAAACCCGCAGAATATGCAACCCAGGAGTGAACATGACAGTCAACTAAAACTTGGGGTGGTAATAATGTGCCAATGTAGGTTCATAAACATCACAAATGTACCACTCTGGTGGGGGTACTGAGAACAGGAGTAGGTTATGCACATGAAAATTCTTAATAACTGGTACATAATTTGCTGTGAACCTAAAACTGCTCTTTGAAAAGTCATTAATAGACCATCTCCTTTAAAGTGTCTGTACTCAGGTCTAAGAGTCTTTCCTATGGTTCTTTATGCACATCCAGGAAACAAATGTTTGCATCCCCCATTAAAATCATACACACAATATATATCATTTCACAATTACGATGGCCAGTATCAATGCAACAAACAGTATCAATCCAACAAGCAATATCAAGTATTTCCAAAAGTGTGGAGAAACTGGAAATGATACACAGTTGAATGAAAGATAAATTGGTGTGAACTGGATAACAAGGAAGGGGTTTCTCAAAAAATTAAAAAATAGAACTGTTTTTTAATTCCACTTTTTACTTCTGGGTATTTATAAAAAAAGAATTCAAAGGAGGATCTGCAAGAGACATGTGCACACTTGTGTCAATTGTATCATTACTCACAAAAGCCTGTATAGGAGGAAACAATCCCTATATCTGTGCATAAATAACTAGACTTAAAAATGTAGTACATGCATACAGTGGGATAATCTTCTGCCAGGAAATAGAACAAAATCTGGGCACACAACAAACACTGAGGACACTTTTTAAGTGAAGCACACGAGTCACAAACAGACACTATAGAATTCCACTTAGGTAAGTAATCTAATAAAGTCAGTATCATGGGAATAAAAAAGTTTATCTGGGCCTTGTTTTTAAAGCAAATGAGGAAGTGCTTATTTAATGATATGGAGACACTTCTGCAGGATGGAAGTTTCCAGACATCAGATAAAACAACAAAGAGTATACTTAATATGACTCTACTATACAATTACAGATTGATAAGATGGTAGATTTTATTCACATGGTTTATTAAAATTTAAAATTAAAAATAATACCTGAGATAGTTATAAAACTTTTCAAATTTACACTCAATTTAGAAAACCTTTTAAAAATATATTTTATTGATTATGCTATTGTCCCATTTTTTTCCCTCCTCTTTATTTCCCTCCCCCTTAGTTCATGTCCATGGGTTGTACATGTTCTTTGGCTTCTCAATTTCCTGTACTATTCTTAATCTCCCCCTATTTTGTATCTACCATTTATGCTTCTTATTCCCTGTACCTTTTCCCCCATTCTCTCCCAACCCCCCCCCTTTGGTAACCCTCCATGTGATCTCCATTTCTATGGTTCTGTTCCTGTTCTAATTGTTTGCTAAGTTTGTTTTTTGTTGTTTTTTTTTTAGGTTCAGTTGTTGATAGTTGTGAGTTTGCCATTTTACTGTCCATATTTTTTGTTATCTTTTTCTTAGATAAGTCCCTATAACATTTCATAGAATAAGGGCTTGGTGATGATGAACTCCTTTAACTTGACTTTATCTGGGTCCCATTCTAAGTGACAGTTTTGCTGGATGGCTAACCTCTAATATAGGTGCTTGACTTTCATGACATTGAATATTACTTTCCAGCTCCTTCTTGCATGTAAGCTTTCTTTTAAGAAATCAGCTGATAGTCTTATAGGAACTCCTTTGTCGGTAATTGTCTCCTTTCCTCTTGCTGCTTTTAAGATTCTTTTTCTTTAATCTTGAGTAACTGAATTATGGTGTACCTTGGTGTGTCCTTCCGTGGGTGGGACCCTAAGCTTCTTCGACTTCCTCAAAGTCTATTTCTTTTGCCAGATCAGAGAAGTTCTCCATTATGTTTTCAATTTCTTGTTCTTCCTCTTCTCCTTCTGGCACCCCTATGATTTGGATGTAGGGGTGCCAGAAGGAGACACCCTTGAAACATCCAATGTTTAAAGTTGTCCCGGAGGTTCCTAAGCCTCAACTCATTTTTTTGAATTGTTTCTTCATTCTGTTCTGGTTGAATGTTTAATTCTTCCTTCTGCTCCAGATTGTTTAACTGAGTCCTGGTTTCCATCCCTTTACTGTTGGTTCCCTGTATATTTTCCTTTATTCCACTTTCCATAGCCTTTACCTTTTCCTCTACACACTCAACCATTTCTGTGAGCTTCCTGATCACCAGTGTTTTGAACTCTGCATCTGATAGATTGGTTATCTCTTCATCGCTTAGTTCCATTTTTGGAGCTCTGATCTGTCCTTTCATTTGGGCCATATTTCTTTGTCTTGCCATACCAGTTACATTGTAAAGGGTGGAATCTTAAGTACTTGCCAGGGCGGGACAACCCGTGTCACTGCATTGTGGCAGGGTATGGGCATCCAAGAGGAAACAATGCTGCTTGCTCAGCTCTCAGCTAGCTTTCAGTCACTTCCCCTGCTACTCACAAACAAATTGCGCCCTTCTGGTACTGATTCTCGTTTGGGTGGTTTTGTGTACATTCTAGGACCCTGTAGGTCTCTCCAATGAACTTGCTGTGAGTCTGGTCATTTCTCCACCCGCTGCAACCCCCATATATTTTTACAGGCAGAGGTTTTGAGGCTTTATTTCCTGGCACTGGAACCATGGGTTGCATGGTCTCTCTTGTTCCTCAGTTGTTCCTCCTAGTTTTTCTGCACACAAACGTGAGACTGCCTCGTCCTCCAACTGCCTTGCCACGCGTCCTCTCCATCCTGCTGCCCATCTCCACCCTTCCTTCTAGTCTGAATGAATGTTTCTTCTGCTAACCCCTTGGTTGTCATACTTCCATACAGTTTAACTATTTGGCAGTTCTGGGTTTTTTTATGATTTTATTTATTTATCTTTAGAGGGGAGGGGAAGGGAAGGAGAGAGGGAGAGAAACATCAATGTATGGTTGCCTCTCGTGTGTCCCCTGCTGGGAACTGGCCTGCAACCCAGGTATGTGCCCTGACTGGGAATCGATCTGCAATCCTTTGGTTCACAGGCCCGTGCTCAATCCACTGAGCTACACCAGCCAGGGCCTGGTTATTTTTTTTTAATTTGTTGTTGTCTTTTTGGTTGTGCAAGGAGGCAAAATGTATCTACCTATACCTCCATCTTGGCCAGAGTTCCTTGATCCAATTTAGAAAACTTTTAATCTCACATAAACAGAATATAAATTCATCCATGAATAGGTAGATGTAAAATGAAAACTATTTCCATAACTACACTGGGCCAAACAACCTCTGACTATTAACCAAGCACAGACAGAAACAAGTAAGTCATGAACAAAGCAGGATAAAAACCAGACAAATGTGCACATAAGTTTAGTAGCAATTGACATGTGGCTGATTCATATTTCAATTAAGTCCCACAATGTCTTCAGTGTACTGAGTTGAAAATTATCACACACTTTCCTAATATATAAACGAAAACCAAAATGTCAACCAACTAAATTTGAGGAACCTATCACAGAAAAAGAAACATGCTGTACTACCAGTGGGAATTGTGGATGAATGAGACTGAGGTATACTAGAGTCCCAGTCTTTTCTTAAAGGGCTAGCACAGACTTACTGGGATTCACTTACTGTGACCTCAAGCCTTGGGACAGCAGCTTGAAAGGTAGTAGGGACTTGCAAGGTGGAACTGAATTGGCTGGCTTCAGGGAAAAAGCTGGAGGGGCAGCTTTCTCCCACACAGAATTGCGTCAGAGCCCTCCCCAGTACAAACCTAGCAGACAGGTGCCATATCTGAGCCACCATCTACCTGGCTCACACTGTAGCTCTGTCCTAAAGACTTCCTGAGATGTTGCCCCACTTAACTTGAGAGCCCACCCACGCCATGTCCAGTGTCTGTTCCATACAAATGGCCTCTCGTCTCATGCGTCAGACAATCCTTAATCTTAGAAACAAACTGTATTTGGCCTCTGCATGTATGTCCCTTACATCTCATCCAGTGGCCTTATGTCCGACACTAGCCACAGCTGACCTTGGGTTACAGTGTGATGTTTCTGGGCACCTCCAAAACCAGCACAAGTAGGAACTATCTGCATGTTACTCTGTAACTAGGTCCAGGTACCCTGGGCAATTCATTGGTTGTGGCTAACCTGGCACCTCCAAGGAGGACCCAGAGCCAGTGCACCCAGTAGACAGGTTAAGACCATATCAGATTATAACCCTACCATTTCTACAATGACACACTAACAGAGCAGACTCTTTGAGCATCACAGCACGCTGAACATTCTTTTTTTTAAGAAAGATTTTATTTATTTATTTTTAGAGAAGAGAAGGGAGGGACAAGAAGAAGAGAAATATCAATGTGTGGTTGTCTCTTGCATACCCCCAACTGGGGAACTGGCCTGCAACCCAGGCATGTGCCCTAACTGGGAATCAAACCTGCGACCCTTTGGTTCGAAGGCCAGCACTCAATCTACTGAGCTACACCAGCCAGGGCATTGAACATTTTTTTTAATATGAACTGCTGAATAATTCTGTAACACACATTCTGTCAGCACTTCTGAATCTAAAAGCAAATGTGACAAAGGTCTAATCAGAAAATGAAAATGCATAGGACACAGTCCTAGGCAGCTGTGGACAGAACAAGAGAGACTGATAAAGTCATAGTGATGAAGAAATCAGGTTAAAAATAGATTTTCTTACCTGGTTGGCAGTGTTTTAAGGTCACCTATAGCAGTGACTTATTGAAGAACTCTATGAGGTGAATGGATACCATAAACTAATATGAAGGAATAAAAAATACAGACTAGAAATGATCATATTTAGTTCATATGAAGCAAAATAAGTTCTGAAACGAAACCCAAAATTAGATTTTCATGGTCTGGGGACGTACATTATGCAGTGATAAGATCACTGATTCTAAACTTTGTAGGATCTTGTTTGAAGACTCCATAGAATTAGAAATTATATACCAGAATACGTGACACCTGACTCTAGGGTTACTGGGATTTCTGCAACAAATTCTAGGATCCTAACCCCTTCCTCTATAAACACCTTTCATGAGACAAGAACAAAACTTTAAAAAACAGGCTTAACATACAATGTATCAGCAGAGTGCACAGATTTTCCCAGGTACCCAAAGCAAATGAAGAGAAGCCAGACCATGGGGGCCCTCATAGTCCAAGGAGAGGACTTTGGCTCCAGCTGCTATTGGATGACAGAGGTCACTGGAGTAGAAACAGAGTTGTGAGAGGATGTAGAAGCATGGGACATAATTGGAAACCAGCTGGCCCTCAATGACAGCAACAGAAATAAACGTGGGCTTTTCAAAATCCTTTCCATTGAAGTACAGCATCCCAAACCACACCTTAAAGTCTGCCTTCCTCTGTGACCTTTGTGCCTTTCACCTTTGTCATCTGCTTCCCCATTTCCACCTACCTGGGTGGGTGAAAATTAACTTTTTTCTCTGCATATCCCAGTGCTCCTTCATTTGCTCCAAAAAGGTGACCAGGTCTGGCTTAGAGACAACAAGGCCTGTTTATAAAAGAGAGAAACATCAGTTCTAATAGAGAGGTTCCCATTTCCAATCTACTTTGTGATCAGGTAAGAAGACTGCTAGATGGCCCTGGCTGGTGTAGCTCAGTGGATTGAGCATGGGCCTGCGAACCAAACAACCGCAGTCCCATTCCCAGTCAGGGCACATGCCTGGGTTGCAGGCCAGTTCCCAGCAGGAGACACACAAGAGGCAACCATACATTGATATTTCTCTCCCTCTCTCCTTCCCTTCCCCTCTAAAGATAAATAAATGGAGGGAGGGGTGTGCAGGGGGGAGGGGAATGGAGGGGAGAATAGGACAACTGTAATGGCATAATCAATAAAATATATTTTTAAAAAAAGATAAATCAAATCTTTAAAAAAAGATGACGAATGCTAGAAAGTTAGAATATTCTAGAAAATGACTTTCCAATATGCTGTTTTCTGATACCATGCTAATTATTCTGGAAAACATGTAAAACTTCAGACACTTGAGTTCCTAATTCATACAGTTCAAGAGGTCTTTTCTTACAAAAGCAGATAACCTCCAATTTCTCCCCTGAGAGTAAGAATCTAAACTGTCCATGCAAATCATGAGCCACAAAAACTTTTCTTCATTAAACTAATAAAGAAAAATAAAAACCCTGCAGGTGGAGCAAGAACTCTGAAAGGAAGTCATCCTCACCCAGGGAGACCAGGGTCCTGTAGTTCTCCAACATCACATCCACGTACAATTCCCGCTGACCTGGGTCCAGACATTCCCACTCCTCCTGAGAGAAATCTACTAACACGTCCCTGAAGGTCAACAATCCCTGAGAGAAAAAAAGATACATTTACCAAGGAGACACCAGAACTAGCAAAAGTGGTTCTGACCTAAGAGAGTATCCTGATTTACCTAGTAAGATCATGTTGACCCGTAATATTTTCTAATGTTATTTTCAAATATTGAGAAATGAGGATGGCATAGATACACAAATCCACTGTAGAGACTTTATTTTTCAGGAAAATAAACTTTAAAATGAAGGCATCGACACATGCATATGTAAGGTTGAATGTTGTAATTGAATCACTCATAATCAAGTGTGTGTGTTTCTCACAATTGAGAGAAAGACATGAGACAAGACATGTCTCAGCTGGAAAAGACATGGTGAGTTGGAAGTGTAAGTACTTCTTCATGTTTAATTCAGACAACAAAGAACTGCAGTTTTGTAAGAATGCAGATTCAGATTCAGGAGTTTTGGGCTGGGACCTGTATTTCCACATCTTTAACAAGCTCCCTTTTTACTAATGACATGAATGACTCTGATCCACATGCCATACTTCTGAATAACACAATAACTCAATTAAATAGAATATAATTCATACATGACTTTGACCTTAAGAAGTTTTACGCAATTTACAGTTCTTAAAAAATAAGAAACATTAGCAGCCACAATCTTATTTGAAAACTTAGCATAAGTAATCTTAGAACAAAGTTATTCTTCCTATGATATGAGAATATTTTCTTTTTTAAAAAATTTATTTATTTACTTTTAGAGAGAGGGGAAAAGAGAGAGAAAGAGGGGAAGAGAGAGAGAAAGAGAGGGAGAGAAAAATCAATTTGTGGTTGCCTCTCACACGCCCCCTACTGGGGACATGGCCCACAATCCAGGCATGTGCCCTGACCAGAAATCGAACCAGGGACCCTTTGGTTCACAGGCTGGTGCTCAATCCACTGAGCCATACCAGCCAGGGCTACAAGAACATTTTCTGAAACATGCAGCAAAAGGTAGACCTTGAGATTGACCCCAAACTTGATCTACAATTCCCCCCCAAAAATCCCCCCAATACTCAAATATGTATACAGACATGTTTATTGTGGAAGTGCATCACAATTTCTGTAACTAACAAAAACTACTTAAGAAAATTAGAAGACAAAGTAGCTCAAATAAAGTAGCATTTTATGCACACAGATATATATATATATATATATATATACACACACACACACACATATATACATATATATACACACATATATATGTGGAAACTAAGTACAATTGAAAAGTGATAGAAAACAGAATTTTCATGTCAATGAGGGTAAGATTATATTGCAATTCTGCAATTCTGTAAATCTCATAAGTCTATGTGTGGATGATACCCTTTGTCTTTTATAAACACAATATTAAGAAGAATATATAATGAAAAAAAGAAGTTATTGGTTATTAATACTTAATTTTTTTAATGTGTACCATTAGTGAAGAGCTATATCTTAGAAATTTAACTGAATTGAACATACATTAATATGACTCATAAATTTCTTGAAAATACAAAAAGTACTAAGTCGAGTATGTCTATGACATGAGTGTGGAATATAACAAAAATCTACAAAAACAAAGCCTGATTAATTAAATGTTCCATGTCAAAGCTAATGATCTCTAAGAAAAAAAGTAGGGCCTTCACTTTCCAAAGCAAACAGAAACTAAGAAGAGGGAAGTTTCCAAATGGAATGTAATTTTTTTTTACATCCCTCAATAATTCCCTACTTGATCTTGTTAATTATAAAAAGAAACTATTAACTGTATAGTGAAGAGACCACCCCAGCCACAGGAATATCAGGTGGACTGGAACAACAGATACCAGGTGACTGAGGTATGTGTCCTGTCACTGCCATGACATTACTGGCAAAAATACAGAAATAAAGAAATCATTACATGAAAATGATCACAAATAAACATTATTTTTGTAAATGCAAATGTACATGTACCTCTCCCATTATTAAACACAAATATTATAGTACATTTAAATAGTAAGATTTTTGTACAAATCTAGTGAGCAAGTCTCTTCTATTTATTCTTCTTTGTCAGAACTTTCTGAGCTACCTGACTAGTAAAATGGGTATTTTCTTACTTCTGGTAAACACAGCTGATGATGCTCTAGGCACATGAACCTAAAGTCTACATGTCCCTTCACCAAAACTCAAGCCTCTGAGCCCATCCCAACTGGGATTATGGACACGGGTGACTTCTCAGGTTGATCTGTCACAAAGGGGATGTGTTCAGTAGTTGAATCATTAATTCAGGGCAGGAATTCTTCATGTTGTTGGAGAGGCTGGATAAAGAAAATGCAGAGTAGGCTCTGGGACAAAGGAGAGAAGTATATAAAATGCTGACCTTGACAATCATAAGAAGAAAGGAAAAAAATAAAGTAGATAAAAACAAAACCCCTAGCCAAAAACATCAGAAGCAGAGAAATAAAGGTTGCAATTTCTAAATCCACTGATGTCAGGAAGAAAAGTAATCAGCCTCCAATCAGGACACATCACTTACCTGAGCAGCAGCCATGGCATCCTCGTCCCGCTTAGAGTTCTTTTCTCTGGTGATGATATGCTGAGGGGTCATATCTGCATTTTGAGGATGTACCTTCAAAAGCATCTGTACCGCCCCTTCATCTGCACCCAGCACGCTCATGGCAGAAGGATGAGGAAATGCTGAAAAGGTCACTCTCTCCTGTCCTTTGTCCCAGGAGAGTCGGGAACAATGAGCTCCTACATGGACACCACACTGTGAGGTTCTCTTTCTTTTTTTATGGGTTCTCTCTTCCCACAGATTTCCACAAACACAGCAATGAGAACATGTGCTGCTCTCCTCAGCCCCAAAGCCAGCAGAGTACCTCATAATCTTCCCTGATCAAAGCTTGCCTCTCATTCTTACAAAGGTGTGCTGGCATGCCTTTTCTCCTCATTCTCCTCCCCTCCCAGCCTACAAATAACCTTTGCCTTTTCTTTCTGCCAAGCTCCAAGGGCCCTTCTTTTGACTATGTCTCTTATTTCCTGAGCCCACTTCAACCTATGTGACTTTCTATCAATAAATACAATTTTTCTTAAAAAAAAAAAATGCATGCCCTTGCTGGGTGGCTCAGGTGGCTGCAGCACCATCCCATACATCAAAATGTTATGGGTTTGATTCCTGATCAGGGTACTTACGTAGGCTGTGGGTAAGATCTCCAGCTGAGGTGGATATAGGAGTCAGCCTATCGAAGTTTCTCTTTCACATCAATGTTTCTTTCTCATTTTCCCTCTCTCTCTAAAATCAATAAACATATCCTTGGGTGAGAGATTTTAATCAGTGCATCCCAAAGCATTCCTGCTAATCCCTGCGCTCACTTTAGCATCATCTGGACCACCTCATTAAGCAATGATGCCCCACCCAGAGCAGTTGTCCAACTTTGAGCAGGATGACATGGTTGATGTCATTTCTCAAATCTTCTCAGGTGATTTAATAGGAGTCTGAAGGGAAACAGTTTAGCTCTAATAAGCATGCAGACCCCTAGGGAATGAGGGCTCAACTCTATAATTCTGCAAGTCGTCAACGCAGCCTTTGAAATGGCATCTTTATCTAGTTCCCTCCTGGTGCCACGTGTTGCTTCCCAAAAGCAACTGGGCCAGACATATCACACTCAGCACACCTTAGACTCCTGGGTACTATGAGGAGTTCAGGCAGAAACTTCTAAAATGATAGACTCCCTAGGGAAATTTTTTTCTTCTTTTCCAAGAAATTACAAAGAATCATTTTTAAAACATAAAATGATAAATGCAAGTTTTGATGTTGAAAACTTAAAAAAAAGGTTAGCACTGAAGGTACATTTATCAAATTACACAATGAATAGATATGCTCTGTGGGGACCACATTTCTGGTAATCCATTCCATCCTTCAATATTTTCAGAGTATGGACGAGAGGGACTAGAGAGGAAGAGCTCCTTTTTGATTCATTGTCACTAATTCAACAAATCACGTCAATGCAAGAAAAGAGCTGCTGAACATTAGACAAACTCGTGAAACTAGATTCTGAATCTTAAGATTACTGACATCCTTACCAAGTGCACACTGTAAGAGCCAGATATCACTAAGTACCAATGGATGTTGCAACTTACAATAAACACTAGAAAGGATGTAGGGCTCAGAATTTAAACTAGATACAATATATGAAAAAGAAAAAATATCTGGAACTTTTAAAATGTAATGACTTCTATAGTCAACATTTTTAAAAAGCTGAGACTACCTCATATTTAGAAAACAATGCTAAGTGCTGATTCAGAGATATCACCAATGCTTATTTCAAATTAGTGACTACAGAAAAGCAGATATTCAATGGAGTCTGATTTATCTCAATGTTTTTAAAAAATACATTGAAAGTAAGATAAAAAAAAAAAAGAAAATCCAATGGAGAGAGAAAAAAGACCTAATGGTTTTACTATTCCTTGAAAAAGCATCATGTGGTGAGAGACTCAGTCATTTCTTGTCCCAGGTCACCTTCCTCTTGCCATCCCAGGAAATGAGAAGGGACCCATGACTGGAACACAAGTCTCTGCCCTTCTGAGTGAATAAGGGTTCCAGTTTGAAGTTAAGAATGACAAAATTCACAAGCCTTATAAACTGGAGATTTGCAACTGTCATCCAAATCTATTTAAGTGAAAAATTCAGCAAATGTTAAATATATAAAATCACAAGCCAATATCTTACAAACTAATCATCCACATCCTTCTTCCTGCTACTCTATTTCTGTGTATGGATCTTTTTCTCTCCCCTGTTTCTCTGCACTGTTGTTCTTTCCTGTTTCCTCTCCCACCTCCCCTGCTCTTTCACCCCTTTTCTCTATTCCTGTTCCTACACCTGTTCCCTCAAACAACTGGAACCTATTTCACCTTCACTTGGCCTTTCTTCCTGATACATTTGATTGCTCCCATCTTCATACACGTCTGTATCCCCCGCCCATGCCTTTGTCCCCTCTGCTGCCCCAGTTACGGTCTTTCCTGTCACCTCCCAAGCGCTGGCTGACTCTCAGTGCTCTTTGTCCCTTCGATCCGTCATCCCCAAACCCCCTTCCCGTCCCACTGCTCGCTCCCCTAACTTCTCCTCAGAACCACTCCCTCCGCCTGAAGCGCCCCGCTCTTTGCTGCCCCCACGTCTGCACACAGGCCCCTCTCCCTGTCAGCTCCTCTTGTCTCCGTGGGGCTCCCTCAGCTCCTCAGGCATTTCTTCCCTGCTTTCCTCCTCCGGCTACTGTCCCGTTACCCTTTCACTCCTACGTTGCGGGCCCCGTCCCTCCCGCCTCCCCTGCGTGGCCGACCCGTAGGGTCCCTCACCGACCTTTTCTCCCCCTCACGCGTCTCTCATTCCTTCTCCAGATTCCCTCACAGCCTCGTTCCGCCGCTTTCCCGGCCGCTCCTTCGCTCTCACCGCTTCCACAAAGCCCTCCCCGCGTGGGGCAGGTCACCTCTTCTGAGGACTCCGTGTTCTCCTCTCCTAAGTCCCACCCCATAGAAAGTGTGTTCTTACTGGATTCGGGCCTCTTATTAAATTGGGGGTGGGGTCTGCAGATCCCGCGGCCGAGGCGAAATCCCGGCTTCTGGGACCAAGTGCAGAGGCAGGGGGGTTGGGGTGCACAGGGTTTGACTGCGTCTCCCGAGACTTTAAAGGGCGTGGAGTGACAGCGCAGCCCCGGGGAAGCGCTTTCAGCAGGAAAACTTCCCTGCAAGCTGTGCCCATTGCCTGAAGGCTAAGAGTTTTCCCGAAACTAACGCAGAGCGTCTCAGGGGGACGCCAGACTTACCGCGTTAGGAGGGTCGGAGCGGCGATTTTATCAACCGTAGTGACCCTCAGGGTTCACGTGCGTAGGAAGGAGGACCGAGAAAACTAGGTTTCAACCAGAAAAAAACGAAACGTGGAAGAACAACGCAGACCTTGCTACAGCACAGCAGCTTTTGCATCTGTAAGGAACTGCGCAACCTCCGCCCGTCAAAATGTGGGCGGGGCAGAGCCTGAGGCCAGCGCTTGCGCAATGGAAGATGGGTCTCTGGCGTGGCGGGCCGCTACAGAGATAGAGGAATACAGGGGGTGGATGGGCCCAGTGGCCTGCCTTCGGCTCTGCTCCACCTTGTTGTCATTGGTTATAGTCTTTCCTTAGTCATTGTGTTTGGTTTACCCACATCATTACTCCTACAGTTTGTACCAGTGAAAGGAGAGGGAAACGGAATTTGAGTGATGGAGTAACTCGAGTTGGAAAGTTTTAGTTTTAGGTAAGTTAATAAACTTAGTAGTTAATGCAAGTAAAAAGGTATTGTTGCCAAACTGAAGGTACAGTCCATTCTGACTCCAGGCGACCACAAGAAAGTCAACCTCTGTGCTCCAGAAGAGACTAAGCAATCAAGATGGTGACTGAGCCATGTGTTCCAGGGAAAGACATCCTACCGTCCAGGACACAGATAAAGAATATTACCCAGTGTATCAGGGTGTAGCCAGCTCCCCCCTTAAATAGGGATTTGAAATGGGTTCCAGAACTCAGTGTATCCAGGAAATATTAAAAATAAAAGATGTCCTCATGCCCACACGTCTGAACTGGGGGATGGGACACATGGAACAGGGCCTTTGAGAGTTTGCATGTCAACAGTTTGGCAAATAACTTCAAGAACAATCATTTAACATATCTGTAACTTTTTAAAAAATCCTTTCCACTTGCATTCTGGTATAACTTTTTTTTAAAGATTTTATTTATAGCCCTGGCTGGTGTAGCTCAGTGGATTGAGTGTGGGCCTGCGAACCACACAATCAAGGTTCAATTCCCAGTCAGGGCACAGGCCTGGGTTGCAGGCTGGTTCCCTGCAGGCCAGTTCCCAGCAGGGGATACATGAAAGGCAACCATACATTGATGTTTCTCTCCTTCCCCTCTAAAAATAAATAAAATCTTAAAAAATATATATTTTATTTTGGAGGTGGGGAGAAACATCAATGTGTGGTTGCCTCTCACCTGGCCCCACTGGATATCTGGCCTGCAACTCAGGCATGTGCCCTGACTGGGAATCGAACTGGTGACCCTTTGGTTCACAGCTGGCACTCAATCAACTGAACTACACCAGTCAGGGCTCATATCTGGAACTAGATATGTTAGTTAAGTAGCTGTGGCCATGCTTTGAGCCAGTGAAATGGGTATGACTTCCACCCAAGACATAACTGGGAAGCAACTCCCCCTGGTTACATTGCCTGCGTGAGAGCTTGGAGATGGTTGGCTCCATGTTGGGGGTGGGGTGGGGTTGGTGGTGGCCATGCCTGCCTGCATTTACTATGGCAGCTCAGAAAAACTGGAGAAATATGGGGAATGCTGGCTGGTGTAGCCAATTGTGGGAGGAGTCGGAAATGGGAATGCAGAGGAAGATTCGTGCCAGGATTTAAATTCAGGCACCCCAGCCTTGTGGGATGGGACCATATCATCTTGAGTTTGGGGGAAATACATGGTTCTTGATAAGGTGTGAAATTATGCAGTTTTGGGGTTCCCTTTGCCACACAGCTTAGGAAGCTGGAAAGCAAGATGTAGAAGTGATGCAGAGCTCTCTCTTGGCAGTTTGGAAGAATGCAGTAGAGACACTGCAGGAAGGAAAGGGGTGAAAAGACTTGCTATTGGCCATGAGAAGGTGCTATGTGGGTTTGGATTAAGAACTGGAGATCCTGGCGACACTGTTGATGGTGCTGGGAACTGCAGGAGGCCTGCCAGCCAAGCACAGATTACTGGGAAGAACGGAGGGCTACCTGAGCCACGGACTTGTATTTCTCTTCCTGAGGTATGGTACCCTGGACTGGGCAAAGGGGGGAAGGAAGGACTGTGTGTGTTTGTTGATGTTTTAAGGGACTTTGGGATTTTAACCAAGACATTAAGTCATTACTCTCTGTATAAATTTTGAATAAATAATTCCTTTTCATCAAACTCTGGCATTGAGAGACATAATTCCCTGGTAGTGAGCAAGGTAAACCTGGTACAGGAGGACCCCAGTAGAAGGAGGGGAATCCATTCATAACAGTATCTTGCCCCATTTCCCCATGGGTCCATAACACCAGGACACAGGACAGAGCACCCAGATAAAAAAAAAAAATCACCAGTCAGTGGATGAAGGGATGTTAGGGAAATTGCTGGACTACATCTTTTCATCTGATTAACTTCTTTCCTGAATTCCAAATCCCTTACCTACACTTTTCTCCTTATAAAAAGGGTAGGATTGAAATGAAATTTAAGATGGTCGGTTAGGGTACATAACTTGCTGTCTTCTCAGATCTGCAGCCATCTGGATGAAGTGCCCATATTCAATCCCTTTCTCTGCTTATTGGTCCTGGTAGTGACAGAAAACATAAACACCAGTTTTTCTAGTTTCACTGGGATTGTGCTGCTTGTCACTGCTCAGAAAAAAAAAAAAACAGAGACAAGGATTGAATTATAATGGTGCTTTTAATTAATATCAGAGGTCAGCAATCAAAGAAGTTGGCAGGTAAAAACCCTAACATCCACCTTCCCCTTGAATTTTCAAAAATTTATGTTGGAGAAACATGGGAATCTGGGAGGGAGGGATTCCTTGAGCTTTCACTTGGGTGTAAGGGAACAGGGATCTGCAAAGGTAGTTGAGCAGCTTCAGCCCAAGGCCCCCTCCCTTCCTTCTGGTGTCCTCTCTCTCTGTTATGTGGCATCGATTGTAAACCAAGGCAGGAAGGAGGAGGAAGACAAGTCTCATCCACAAACTCAGCAGTCCTGACCTTCGCCCGATAGGATTTCCAGGTGTTCCAAACATCACAAGAAACTCCATGATAGTGCAGGAGGGAGCCCTTGAAATTCTGCATCATTTCCACTATCAGGAAGCAAGCCTTGGAAACTGTGTTCATCCCAAGATTTAGAAGGGGGAACACAGTGCCCAAAGAAAATGCCCATAAAACAACTTTTGTTAATTGCCTGCCCATGTTCACTATCTGTTTTATGAGAGGGTCCCCAGTGCTTATAAAAAGAGCCCATAAATAACTTTGGGTAACTGCCTCAACTTTAATTAAATGCCTCCTGTCAAGTGTCTGTTTTACAAGATAAACAAATGTGGTATTAAGTAAGAATTTTGGTTAACAACCCTCCACACATACTTACTTTTGGATAGTCACGTGCCCCTGCGGGAAGCTGGCACCCATTTACCCACCAATCAGTGTGTAACTATGTCATCTCCATCTTTCGAACTATATGAACTCTCAGAATGAAGGATCGTTGCTTTTGTCACCCAAGCCTATGTTTTTCACCCCCAACTTGGCTAAGCCAGTTCTCCTCCGTGAGAACTTCTCACTCATACATTTTGCTGGCATGCTAACAGACATGCTGATCTGTAATTCTTTACTGTGTTGGCAAGAAGTGAGGTTTTTCCCGTACCACCCCTTTGCCTTAGTTTTCCTCCCTTCCCTGGACACTTGTGTTTTATGGCCTGTGCCAATGCCAGCCTGTCTCATAGCTGCAAGAAGGGTGAAAGAAAGTTCTGCTGCGGTCTCTCCAGTCTCTGACCAACAAATGTTTTTATTAGTGGTTCCTGGAACATGACAGTCATCCTCTGCATTCCTGGTGGCTGGATGCTTGCTCCAAGGTTGAGGCTGGATTGAATGTCTCTTTGTTCTCCTTTGGTTGGCTATTACTGTAGGAGATCTCAGCCACAACATAAGGTCACATATTCACTTAATTGGTTATATATTCTGGTAATAATTATCTAAAAAGTATTCTATCTCTATTTTCCTTATGAATATTTGTTTCCAAAATTAATATTTTGGTGACCCCCAACAATTAAGTTCTGGGTAAGATTTTGCTACATATATTCAATATATTTAAGATTTCTATTAGATGTATATTGACTGATGTTTAGTAATGTTTGACTCTTTGTTAAATACACTGCCCAATTCATTATGTTTTAACATTTTCCACATTATAAATTCCTGATGCTCACTGAAGATTCATTCTGCTTCAATTCCTTCCAAATTCATTATATTGGTAGTTTTTCTCTAATGAGTATAACTCTCATATTCATTGATCAATGAAGAATGGCTCAAAACTTTCTATTTTTTATTGCAAAATTTGCTTTTCAAACTAGGAAAGTCCTTCCAGTTGTGGACACTAAGGAACTATTTTAACAAATCCCTTATTTTGATTACACTTATATTATGTTTTAAGGTCTGTGGTTGACCCTGATATAACTGAAAGCTTAATCTGATCATTTTATCATATCTTCCCATGTACTTGTTTCCCAAACATGGTTTTTGTTTTTTCTTTATACACAATGTTGACAATAGTTTTGGAGATATTTGGAAGGTAGATATTTATGAAGATTATATGTTGTTATAAAAATTATAACCAATTATGTTGGGATGAATATTTCAATGTGGACCCCAATATTCACAAGCAAATAAATAGTTGGTGGAAATTTTTATCAAGCTAAAAACAGTTGGAGAAGGGCCAATTATCAGTGAAAGAATTCACGAGTTCATTTGTTTTATGGAAAGCTTTGTTGCTCATAAAATTTACAAGCAAGTGAAATGAATATATGCACAATAAGAAAAACACTATTTCCTCAATCAATGGAAAGTTCCACCATATCTCTCCTCGTAATATTAAAAACATGTACATTATTAAACAAGTCAAAATCATGGTAGAATTAAAAAATCTGAAAAGCACAGGCACTTGTGTAACCTAGTCAATTAACCTCTGTTTCACAAAAGACTTTTCATTTTTTAAATAAACATTTATTTTACTTATTTTTAAAGAGAAGTGAAGAGAGGAGGAAAGAGGAGAGAAATGTGGATCTGTGTCTGGGTACCTGGACCACACCCAGGCATGTGCCCTGACTGGGAATTGAACTGTGATCCTCTGGTTCGCAGGCCTGTGCTCAATCCACTGAGCTACACCAGTCAGGGCAAAATGTCTTAAATTTTTTTTTAAATTCAAGTC